GACAGGTAGGTATGTGGTCCCTACAGATCTGGAGGGACTGGAGAATAGCCTGGTGTGTGCCAGGGAGAAAGGTGAGGTGTGAATCTTAGTTATGCCTGTTGTATATGCCCTCTCCTCTTCTCCCCTTCAAGCTGCTAAGGAGCCTGGAGCCTAAGCATTAGCAGAAAAATCCAGGGGAGAATGAAACTAGCTGAGCAACTAATTATTCATTTTCTTTTAAAGTTGATCAGTTTGCAGAATAGTGATGAATTACAGAAATCTAGACAAGAGCTGGATCCTAACGATTTCTTAGTTCAGTGGTTTCAGATTGGTTTTGGAAGCAGATTTCTTTTATCTAAACTAAATCTTATGGGGAAACTCCAAATTATACAACGGAGAGTGAAGTTTCTCTGATGCCCAATCCATTCTCTGTGTCTTAGACACCCTAAGTCTTTTCTCAAGGAATCCTGGGGTGTTGTGGATCAGATCTGATCATTTAACAGGTAGGAGAAACCGAGGGGCAGGGACACAACTGCCAAAGATTTTATGGTTTGAAGCAGGTGTAAGGTTGAAATCAAGTCTTGGTAGCCTTGGGCCAGTGTTCTTTGCAATATTACTTATGCTATTGCCCTTTTTTTTTTTTTTTTTTTTTTAAAGTACACAGAGTCCTTGAGACTCCTGGCCTGAGGTAGGACACTATACCTTCCTGGTATTTTTGGCAGCTTCTCTTCATTATCCCAGCAGTTGGCAAAGAGCCAGAAGAGGGAAGTGAGCTGCTGCGTGAACACCCATGGAATTTGTTCCTTGTGATAAATTTCTCATGGCATGAGGAAATGGTGTCTTGCACTTGAATCTGAAGAGGGATTCTTTAGCTGAGTGGGACATTCTGGGACCAAGGACGGAGGAGCTGAGTCTTCCTGAATTCTCTGCCCTCTGGCTTTGATAGGATCATACAGTTGTACCTGGAGAGGAGCACAGTGTGGTGAGAAGAGCATGAATCTTGGAAGTAAGTAGACCTGGATTTGAGTGTTAGGAGTTACATGACTTTGGGCTAGGCACTTTGTCAGTTTGAACCTTTTGTCTTTACCTTAAAATATGAATTTCGTAAGTACCATTTAAGACTGTTGGCAAAATGAGAGGTGGTAATACATTTAAAACCTCTCAGATAGTAGAAAGTGATGGGGTGTTGCCATTGAGAGCATCCGCTTTTATGTCTACCAGACTGGGGGTCAAGTCCTAGTTCTGCCACTTATAGCTGTATGAACTTCAAATCTTAAATTTCTTTTGTTTAATAAAAATGGACCTCAGTATAAGTTTTGGGGGAAAAGGATAAAAAGTTTAATGAAAGTAACTTGGCTGATCTTGATAGATGTTAATTGGAATTATTCCTGTTTTTTTTTTTTCCCTCAAAATAGCATGAAATTCAGGTAGTCTTGTAAAACTTCGGTTTATAGTAACTATGTTCATAATACTCACTGGTGACTTTTAGAGAATTATACTGATGGTGGATAGGGTCTGTCTAAGTAGGGCAAGGGCTTAAGTTAAAAAAAAAATTTAGCTTTGCAAATACAGGATGGGAATGCTTACCTTCATAACATCAGTTTCATAACATTTTGTATGAAATGGTTTGCAGGGTTAGATGTAAACGTTATTCGCATGCACTTATAGTTGTGGACAGCCCAGAGAGTGTCTGCATTGCTGGATGCGCCATTGAAGAGAGAAAAGGATTCATTTTACTGTAGCTACAGCATGATGACCAACATGGGGAAGGATCTGGGAAGAGGAGTAAGGCAGAGAATATATGTCCAGGAGGGCCTTGTTGTCTAGGTGGGGAGTCTAAGGAAGCTGCTAGGGATGTTCAGTCTGAAAGAACTCAGTAGTGAATGTCCTTGCTGTTTTCAACTATTTGAAGGATGATGAACAGACTTTTCTGGGAGCCGAGAGAGTTCATTGGCTGAGTACTTGGCTGAGGTCCAAGGCTAAGGGGAGAAGTGCTGCTTAGAAGTCTGGCAGGTGATTTTTTTTTTTTTTTTATCAATCATATAGCTGTCCCCTCCCCCAAATCCACAGAAGACCTTCATGCGCTTGAGGCCTGAAGAAAGAGGACTGGTCAGGGGCTGTGAGCTTACTCGACTCTTGTTTGTATGATTACCTCCAGTGCCCTTCTTCTCCCTGCCAGCACAGCAGCCTCTAACTGCTGCTTCCCTCAACCCTAACCAGCTGGCCAGGAAGTAAAGCAACACCTGGTATACTTGACTGTAGAGCTGCTTAAGCTTTAACATGCACGTGAATCCTCTGGGGATCTTAGTAAAATGGAGATTGAGTCACACAGGTCTTGGTTGGGGCCAATCTGAATTTCCACTGGTGGTGATGATGCTGGTCTATGGTCCGTACTTTGAATAACAAGGCTCTACTGCAACTCATGACTCTTCCCTGCAGGCTACCTCCAGGTGTCGTTAGGCTAAATGACCCCCTCCTAGGTGCTCTGAGGACTAAGTCCCACACCTCTGTTAGCAGAGGGTTACTGTCTGGAAATAGTGCTGTATTCCCCTCCCAGCACCCATGAAACCATCTTACCCAGATAGAACTTAGCCTTCCAGTCTCCTTGTCATGTGTAGGACCACTTTAGCAGTTATCTGATGTATTTGAAAAAAACAAAAAAGCCAAAAAAAAAACCCCCCAAAACATGGTCTTGACTTCATCCACACTGTTGGAAATCTAGCACTTCCTGAATGTGTGCATTATGCTGCCAGAAACCTTACCCTAAGAACCAAGTATCCATTTGCCTAACAATCAGGCAGATTTCTTCTCTTTTAGCTGTATGTGGAGATTACCCTGAGGTAACAGCTTGCTGTAGTACTTTGTAAAGTAATCTTTAAAAGGTATGCGTATAATGAGCCCTTGCTCAATGAAGCCATAACCCCAGGAATATTGATTGAAGCTAGTTAAATATATCTGCCTCCCTTTGTCTTTTTCTTTTTTTTTTTTTATTCTATCAGACGATCTATAGGAGGATTCTAAGTCTTTGACATCCTTTTTAAGTTCCTGTCCCTTCCTGCAGCAGTGGCTTATTGGTCAAAGTGAAGTAATTGAGACATGTCTCATGACGATCTTGGTGAGGTCTCTTATACAAAATCGTGTTGCTTTTCTATTCAGAAACTGGCCTTGGGTAAGGAACTTAGTATCTCTGATCACATGTGAACTCCTCTGCAGAAAGGAGATAAAGATACTAACCTTGAAGAAATTAAATGAGATGATGTTTATGAAAGCAGTTGGTCCATTCCTGGCATATGAAATGAAATGACAGCTTCCTTTGTCTTCCATTTGTTTCTAACTTTTGTATGAGGGACACATTTTATTTCCTTTTTTGCTAGTCTGAAAGCATCTTCTGAACAGGATCTATATTTTAAATCCTTTTTTAGCCCTTTACTATGTGTTCAGTAACAAAATGTTGAATAAATTAATGAATGACCAGATGATCTCTAAGGTCTTGCTGACCTTTTAAATTCTCTGATTTTGATTCTTTTAGTGTTCTAGCTGCTTAGAAGCAATTTGGAGAATTCCCTTAAGATGAATGTCTTCCATGTTAAGGATTTTCTTTTTTGCAGTTTTATAAAATATGTATTATATTATTACTAATAAGTATGTACCTGGGCTCAGGAGCTGGCTGCAATAGTAAAAGTAACCTCTTGAATTTACGACCTTGGGCCTGATTCTTTGTCTAGTATGAATTGGGTAGGTCAGAGTCTAGTCTTTGCCAGCACTGCTCTCTTGGGAGGATCCCTGTGAAAGATGAGCAAGAAATACACATTTGTTATTGTCATATGATTTGGGAGTCTCTCATAATAGAGGCTCATTTTCAGATCTATTCATTTCGGTGCTCATAGAAGATGTTTTTTTGTGTGTGTGTTTTAGATTAAATTATGATCTGGCTAGTGGGGTGAGGCCAACTCAGCTGGCTACCTACATAGGCAGGTATTTCTTGAGTTGTCTGTACAGATGAATTGCTGACAGACCATGTCAGTTGAGGCCATCTTTACTACTGTCATTGTGCCTCTGAGATGGACAGCAGGCTGGTAGAAAAATGCATGTCAGATTTAGACCTGAATTTAAAGCATGGTAGGTATATTCTAGAACCTCAGTTTCTTAGGGATGCTATCGGCCTTTTAGGTTTGTCAGGGTGATGAGTTAGATAGTATATGTTAAATGCCTAGTGCAATGCCTTGCAGTGAGATTAGGCTTGATTTAATGACGGTGATGCATTTCAGAAGAGGTTTGGACTCAAAGTATCAGCCCTGGAGCATGTCTGGAAGGAATGTCCCAAACTTGACTGCTGCATTTTATGACAAAAGTGCAGACTGCAGTGGTGATGCTGAGTTTTTCATGGATCTGGAAAATGTGACAACAATCTGGGGAGAGAAAAGACTCAATTGCCTGTTTCCTGACATGATAATTTGAGATACTGTCCATATGTGAGTAGCTTCAGCCACTCCTCCCCTACTCCATTACACAGGAACTGTTGTCCACTTAAGGCTCTTTGTCTAGGGGGCAATGTGTTTAGTAACGTTTTCTTATCTCAATTTATTTCAGTTCCTGATACCCAACCTGACTTCTGTTTTCCTTTAATTCTTAAAAAAGTAGAGGAGCCAGAAATAAAATGAAGCATCATTAAGCCCATTTCACATGAGTGGCCTTTTTTAGACTGTAGAGGGTTCTGAACTGTACCTTTAAGTGTTGGAGAGATCTTGCACCAAGCTTTGCTAATTAGCTTGTGGCCTGTCAAGTCAGAGTGGATCAAACAGTCTCTGGTTCAGAGGCTCAGGGTGTCACTGTGAGGTTCTCCAATGATAGGTGAATTTGATTCCATGCAGTACAAGTGGTTTTTAGTTATTAGATCTTTGTATCCTGTTTAGCTAATTTTAGATTCTGAGAAACTGGGTGGTGAGTTTGTGAGTAGGGAGGATTGATAACTGTGGGATCCAGAAGTAAAAACAAACATATTTTTGTTACTCTCCATACAGCTATTTTGAACTAGAGAGCAGTGGTCTGAGGGATGAGATCCGATATCACTATATACATAATGGGAAACCCAGGACCGAGGCGCTTCCATACCGGATGGCAGATGGACAGTGGCACAAGGTCGCTTTGTCAATTAGTGCCTCTCATCTCCTGCTCCACGTCGACTGCAACAGGTATGTCTGTGCTTTTGTTCTTTTGTGATTCTGTCCTTGAAATAGAGCAGTGGGAAGGGGAAAAATATCAAACCCCTCCAGGCCTTGCTGGGAAATAAAAAAAACCAAGGGACCCTAATTGTAATTTAACCTACCAAATGGGCCATTAGATGTGCTGAAATGACCAACTGTAATATGCTAAGAAAACAGTTCATTAAGATGAAACAGTATCCTGTGATTAGGAACAAATGTACAAAAGGTTGATTACAGATTGGGGAATATTAAGTGCACCTCCGTGTACTCCAGGCACCAGCTGAAATTCCATGGAGCTGTGCTCACAGTTAACTGTGATATATTGTTGTTGAGTTCGTTCCACTTGGAGGCAAATAAGCCATTCTACCTTAGAATGAATCTGAGAAGCCTGTGCCACTGAAGCAGCTAATTCTATTTCACTTCATCAAGCACAGCTTTGCTTAAATATCTTTTTCAAAATGGAGGCTTCTTAAAGAGGCTGTGCTTTTTGAATCTTTTGGAATTAATGCCATCCATCCTCTGCAGAGGAATGAGCCTTTCAGTTTGCCAGAGGATGGCAAGACTTTGTGACATCTGGGGGATTTCATCGGGCATTGTGAACTGGGGTGGGAAGGAGATCTTGTCCCCCATGTATGTCACTGGAGTCAGGTTTGCTTCGAGCTGAAGAAAGACTGATGGTGTCTGTTGGGTCATTTGCAGCTGGACAACTGGTGAATGGTGGTCAAGGGGAATGTTTTGACCTCTCTAGAATCCACTGAAAATCCTTGTGGATAGTTATGTTACAGAGAATATTTTTGCATTGTGAGCAGTGCCCATGAATTGTTGATTCTTGTTAATGATACAAAAAGTTAACTTGTTCCATTAGGCCCAGGATAAGGAACAGGTATGTGGGGAACAAACTACCTTCTGGGACCAAACAGGAGGAAGAATAATCCAAGGTTAATCAGCTCCAGACTACAATTCTAATGAGGAGGTATTTGAATGTACTTATAATTATAGCTCTGCAGTCTGTTTTGGAAGAGGACCTGGAAGGGCAGAGAACAAATTAATGCCAGGCTTAAGGGAAGTTCTGCCATCTTGAATTAGTCTTGGTCTATTTTGATTGGCTGAAGATGTTTGTGGCCTTGAGAATAATTGTGGCTTCAACCAGATTATAATAAGTGTGCCTGGATACATTTTTCATAGAAACAACTTGTTCCTTGTGACCCTATTGTCCTAACTTGGGCAGCCTGCATAAAGCCAGCCCTCAGCCATCATCATGTCCATTTCCACCTTCAAGAGCTCATTGGTGGGATGCTTGGGTGGCTCAGTCAGTGTTAAGCATCTGACTTCGGCTCAGGTCATGATCTCACGGTTTGGTTTGTGGGTTCAGGCCCTGTGTCAGGCTCTGTGCTGACTGCTTAGAGCCTGGGGCCTGCTTCAGATTCTGTATCTCCCTCTCACTCTCCCCCTCTCCTGCTCATGCCCTGTCTCTCTTTCAAAAATGAATAAATGTAAAAAAAATAAAAATAAAAAAGAGCTCATTGGCTACTTATTTTCTAGAAGTTAGGTAGTAGCATTCTTGTTGCTGCCCCCCAGCCCCCACAAATGGTAGAGCAGAAGGGCCCTGCATGTCCTATGCCACAGGTCAGAAAGAGGCCACAAAGCTCTAGTTTAGTAATTCCCACCTGAACAGTCTGGGAGACATTGCTGGTTTCTTGCTATGCAATTTTTTGCTTCTGCCTTCCAAAAGTGTTTTTTTCTTTTTTAATATAATTTATTGTCAAATTGGTTTCCATACAACACCCAGTGCTCATCCCTCCTTCCAAAAGTTTTATCTGTTTTTCTAATATTATCTCTGGAGGAGAAAAAAGAAGAAAGGATAGATCTCTGCTAATCTAAAGTTTCACACCTTCACAGATACTCTGGTTCCTATGAAATACTCTTTTCTGACATCCTTAGCCACTTGCCTGCTCTGAATTTGGGGAAGTTAATTTCTTTTCATCTCCATTTTTAAATTTCTAAACTAGGATAATACCTATTCGTAGATGGGAGTGCTAAATGAGATAATCCACATAAGGTGCTCTGAAGTGGTGCTTCATCTTTGCTCAAGGTGATGTTTGTTGTGGATTCTGCACGTTTATGGTAACTCTTTGTCTCCAAACTTTCAGCCACTGTATGTCCTTCTTGGCTACCTTGGCCCTTTTAACAGGAAAGTGGGTAGAGGATGGGAGAGCTGGAACCCCCAATAGTCTATAGGGTCATCCTCATTTATAAGGAATGGACTGAGGGGGATGCTGAATATTCCTTTCCTTCTCTTGAAAATTTTCATACTTTGGTTCATGACCTAACATGTCCTTTATGTAAGATCTTGGAAGGAGAATGTAAAGTTGTTTGCCTGTTAATGATTCATGGGCTCAAACACAAATGGGGCTTTTAGATAGATTGGGAGAAAGAAAGACCCAGAACAACTGGGCCACAGGAGAGGTTAAAAACTGATTTTTGGTGTAGTTCCCAAAGCTGATGGCATGTAAGAATTTTTGGGGAACTTATAAAAAAGATGGAGTTACCAGGCCCCATCTTTGATCTGTTGGATCAGATTCTCTGAGGGTGGAAATGTCTAAAAAGCTATATTTTTAACAGGCTTTCCATGTAGCTCTTATGCAGGTGGTCTAGCTTTGGTAAATGGAGTGGTATTTCACAACCACTGGTTTAGGTGGAAGGGGAGAAAGCTGGAGAAGAGGCTAGGCTGCATTGAATACATGAGAGATCCTAGAAAACCAAGTACCTGCAGCAGAGCCCTCAGGAAAGAAGAAAAGATTAAGGAAAGAGGGCACTGTCTAGTGAATAACATAGGCTTACCTTCTTCACAAGTTTTTTCTTAGCACCAGCTGATTCTAGAGTGGCAAATGCCCTGGTCCATTTATCATGATACTGGTCTACCACTTCTTTTTTTTTTTTTAATTTTTTTTTTCAACGTTTTTTTATTTATTTTTGGGACAGAGAGAGACAGAGCATGAACGGGGGAGGGGCAGAGAGAGAGGGAGACACAGAATCGGAAACAGGCTCCAGGCTCCGAGCCATCAGCCCAGAGCCCGACGCGGGGCTCGAACTCACGGACTGTGAGATCGTGACCTGGCTGAAGTCGGACGCTTAACCGACTGCGCCACCCAGGCGCTCCTGGTCTACCACTTCTATAGGCCACTCTCACAGAGAGTGAATGTCACAAAGGCTGATTTTTACTCCTGAAACTATTAATTTCATACTACCTGAGATTATTTTGGGTTGCTTTTCCCCTTAGAGTTACACTTTTTTCTCAACCTGTTACCCACTAGAGTTCTGCTGGTTAAGTGACAAACAGTGATGTGGTAACATTTATTGAGTGTTGACTTGTGCCAGGCACAGTGCTAAGCTTTTATGTAGGTTAATTCATCCCATACTCATGCTGTTTCTTTCTTGTTTTCAAATGATAGACCAGAGATTACATTATAAGTCTGCAGTCCTGCTTCTAGTAAGTGGTTGTACTGGGATTTGGAATCAAGTCTGATTCAGGAGTGTTCTAACTGCTAGATCATTTAGCCCAACGTGGGGGACCATGGCACTGGACTTGGAAGCTGAGGGAAGTCCAGAGCCTGGTTCAATGTGATCAGTTTGCTCTCTTTTGGTATTTTCCTCCCACACATCTTACGTTGCTGATATTGGAGTTGTTTGGTAGGATACAGAATCTTCCTGATGGAACCCATTGCATTGGCATGGGGGAAGGGACCTGTGTTTATTGAATACTACAGACCAGGTAACATGCTGGGCATAATATTTCTTAGGATATTAATGTGGGGACAATTTATTAGACCTGTTGAACAAGTTTGGAATTAGAATGGCTCAGAGATACATAACCTAAAACTTTGAACCAAGATCTAACTCCCAAGCCTTAGTCTTTCTGTCCCTCCACGCCACCTCTGTAAAGTGTTAATGACCTGTACTTCCCAGGACATAGTCACAACCACATTAGGGAGTCTTCTGAGGGGAGAAATGCTCCAAAATTTTCTGGACCATAAAGACATTTGAAACAGGAAGATTTCCCTGGCAATTTTATTGCTCTGAAGAAGTGGTATGTGGTGAGATTTTCCACCCTTTTTAGCTTAGAATTGACAAACAGCCTTTTCAGACCTAATTACATTAATTGTCACAAGAGAAGTGATTGCTATTTTAGTTGGTGGTTTAACACTTCCTGCTTGCTTCGGAGACTTAGTTTTCTTCCTGCTTTAGCTGTTGAGCTGGGCCTACTTTTAGAAGCTCCCAAAGTATGGGTAGCAGATTACCTCAAGCTAGAAACAGAAAAGGAACCATTCAGTTGGGCGGCTAGCCTGATTATCTCCATTGCCTTGGGTTTTTCTCTAGCTGCCTTTATATTAATAGCTGCCAACAAAGACAAGAATGAGGCCTGTGCTAACCTTCCTCAGATTGTCTCATTCCATTCTCCTTTCACCCTGTGGCCTGTTCCCATTACTCCGAGCCCTGAATCCACTGACATCTGGGATTCAGTGCATAAGCATTCTGTTCACCACAGAAGACTTTCCTCCCCTTTGTTTGGTAACTTTTAACTTTCAGTCAACCTATCAAATTAATGTATTGGACACACTCTCTGCCAGGCTGTGGAGGATACAAAGAAATAAGAGTCCTAGCCATTGAAAGTTCATGGCTTATTCACTCACTTTTAATTCTGAAACCACTAGGGCCCACCACAGTGATTGGGCCTGGCCTCCAGATATCAGAGAAAGCATAGACTTGGACTGAAACCCTATTAGCAGGCTGATTGGACAACCCCTAATAGCAGTTGAGCAGTGGAGAGAACTGAAAAAAGTTATTCCCAGCATCTTGAAGTGACTGGAGCCGAGCTTCTCAACAGCTGAGGGACAGGCTCAAACGTGTTTATCATTCTAATGGTACATTCACCCAGCACTTTGTGCAATATGCAGGTGTCCCTACTCTAAGCAAACCTCCTGTTGCCT